TGCTCTTGGATTCACTTTTGGTCAAATTCTAACACAGGCATCAACAACTATGGAATGAGTTGACTTGTTCAGCAGTGCTAACAGGAGTTCCAACACAAGTCCTGGGACTGTCCTTGTGGCTCCCCATTTCATTACCATTATGCTAGATAGACAAAAATAAGAGATATCCACTATTCCTGGTAATATGACAAATGCTAACCATCATTTTTTAAATTTCTATTTAATGCACTATGTATTCTTTGTTAATAATAATACAATCTTTGTTATGTGCTTATATATTTGACAAACATAGGTTTACTGAAAAGTTTTTCAGATTCCTACTTTTTGCAGGATACCAATTAAAAATAACATTTACATATATAATAATGACTATATAAATAGCATCATACATATTCAACACACATTTCTAATCATAGGAATAAACAATATATTAATTTGACATGAGTCTAATTTATTTAAAGATCTTGGGTCTGGTACCTACAGTTGAACAGAATTTCAGAAACTGATCTTCTGCCTAATAATGTTATCCTGTATACTCAAAATGCATTAACCTATCCAAAACCCAGAAATACAAAGAATCAATATATATAAGATAGGTTCCTGTCCTCTTAGAGTTCACAGCATAGGAGGGGAACCACCTGTAAACCATAATACCAGAGAGTGACAGGTATATCTTCGTAACATCTGAGCTGTATAGGCAAGAAATAAAAAACCTATAAAACTTATGCAAAATAATATTTAAATAGTCAAAAAGATAGACAACTGAATTTTACTAGTATAATACAGCTACATCAGGGAACCAATATGGGGGTTGGTCTGCTAGAACCAATAAATTTCTTTACATTGTATTGGAGAAAATATAACAAAAGCAGAGAGATCCTACAGATACATTTAATTAAGAGCACCGAATTTGCCAAAAACTAGCAACATACAAAAGTACTTATTTAAAAGTAATAAAACTTGACTATAGATTGGCTATAGAATATTTGCAACTTAAGTGTCATTATATGACAAAATTAGTAATTCTGTGGAAAACCAAAGAACTCAAGATTCTGAAAGTTCAATAATTACATATGCAATTTAATTCCATTTTCCAACACCCAATAGCAAGAATAAAATATAATTCAAGTTAATATGAAAAGCTTACATGTCAACATAAAGTAAAATGCAAGAAATTATTTTAATATAAATGTGGTTTTATTAATATTAAGGATTATGATTCCAAAATGCTTCATATTTTTAAAATAAACTTAGTTCAAATGCAGAACATACTTTTGTTTATAAAATTGTAAGTATCTTTTCATTGAAAATTATTCTGATTATCAAGCTTCAAATAAACTCCAAGAAAAAAAAATATAGAATAACTTAGAAATTTCCTTTTTACCAAAATATATTATCAATATGCCAAAAAAAGAAGAACTTAGCCCACAAAATCCCCTGAAAATGTCTTGTTATATTTTTAATACAATATACAATGTGCCACTTAAATGGGAAAAAAATGACCATTTTCTACAAATAAGGATACACTGATATATCACACTGTAATTCATGGGGGGGAAATATCTACAAATTAAACGCTATAGAATTATAGATAGCTATTTCAAAAATTCCCACTGTGCATTCTTTCATTAAGTAAATATTAATTCTCTACTTTATCTTTTCTAAAAATATGCTCATATTAAAATGTTTGATAAAAATAAACTTTCATATTATAAACAAATAACACATGATATTTACATAGTATTTATATCAAGGAAGGAAAAACCTTATAAAAACATATGTTAAGGAAGCAATAAATTATGCAGTATGCCTGCTTTATAACTGAAACAGTCAAATTTTTTTCTATAAATCCGCTTATACTACCACATTAAGTAATTCCTCTCGAAGTCAAAGTTTGTTGATGATCAGTTTTCCTTTCATTAGTAAAGCTAGAATGCAAAATCCTTGACAATATGCTCTCAAGTAACATCATTTACAAACCAATGTACTCAACTTTCAGATGCTTTCAACTTTTTTTTTTTATCCACCCCATATATGAATGTTTTAAGTCAGTGATAATATTTTTATGAAAAATACAGCCATCTACAATGGAAATTATTCATTTTTTCTATATAAAAAATTTTAACAAACACCCACAATCCACCTGAGTAATGAAAACGCATTTCTACCTTAAAAAATAGAAGCAAAAAATTATAGCCACCGCTGTTTTGAAGAAGCTCTCATATTTTGCTGCATGCCTAAACTTTACTCTGCAAAACTTTTAATTTTTGAGACATGTGAGAAACAGCACCTAAAAAGCAAGTATTAGTAGTCTCATGTTATATATAAAGAATGTATAAGGAAAAAATAGAAAGAAAAGTATTTTTAAGAGGTGACAGAGAAAAGAGTACTGTTTAAGGCAGAAACTCTATTTTTAATTTTCACTAGTTTTTCTCTTTTTTGTCATAAAGGGCCGTGATAGATATTATTCTATTTCTACTTATCATTTTTATTTAACGTTTTAAATTAAGATTTTTTTTTTAAAAAAAACTCACTTTAGAGAGAACCCCACTTTAGGGGTTTTCAATCTCTAACAAATCACTGAGTGTCCTAAATGAATTTTACAGGATTATACTTATTAAACAAATAGAATTAAGTCTTATAATTATTTTTAAATTCCTAAGATTTCCAAATATTTTCAGAATCAGCTTAAGTTTTCACATGACATTTTCATCATGAATATATTGGAAAGATAAAGACCTAAACCTACTATTCAAAAAATATCACCCTTCATATGACCAATATGTTTTCCACAATCAATATAATTAACTTAAATAGCAAATAGCTCCTTTTGTCATTTGTTTTCCCCAAAAGTTCCGTTTAAAGATTCATTGAATTCTTTAAACACATACGAAGAACTTTTAAACCTAACTTTGTTTATTCCAAAAATCGATGCAGGTGATAAGTAGATTTGGGGATATACCATTTCAGTGCTAACTTATTTTTGATTAATCTAAACCTTAATAGTACAAGTTAATCTCTACAATAATGTTTGCATATGAGACTTCATGGGAGATTTTTATTGCACTGAAGAGAGTTAAATGCATTTTTTAACCTCAAAATAAATATTTCACATCCTTTCTTAATCTAGTGTGTATCTATAGAACCCCATCTGTTAAGGATTGATGTAGCAGACATTGCTACTGCTGCAGATTCCAAATGCATTCAAATTCGTTTCCAGCTTGTGAGGGCTCTATTGCCTCTTATCACGTTAAAATGTATTAAGTAAGCATGTAACCAGTTGTTAAAATAACCTAATAGCACATCTTTTAAAGTAAAATTGGTGTTGGTTTGGTGAAAACTGGAAAAACACTATAAATGTGTTCTTTTAAATTTACAGAAATAAAGTTATAGAATACAGTACCTGCTAAAATACTAACATATTTTGAGATCTCACCTCTTTTCTTTTAAAAGGGAAAACTAAAGAAGACATGTACTAACCTCCTATTTGCAGCTGATTAAAATTAAAACTCTCAATATTTCTATTGATGTTTTTAAAAATAATCCGGTTATATCAATGTGGTAACTTACAACTGATTTCAACTTACGTTACCCAAACTTACAACTGACATATTTAAGGGTAAAAAGAAATAGAAAGTGGTGGTCTGTATTTAAACAGTAGTAAACATAACAAAACAAGGACAGATATTCTCCTATCTTAGATTTGAACACTAGCAAAAAGAGGGGGAAAAAACAGCTTTAACTTCTCTGTGAATTTAAGAGGTGCATAAACTACAGACATTATCTAATCCATGGCACTACTGCTATAGCTGCAGCGTCCTTTCAGTTTTCCAATAAACCAAATAAAAATAATGGGTTGAAAAATCAGAGTACCTGGGTGTCATAAAATCTCCTTGCAAGCAGTTTCTATTGCTGTGACTCCACATTAAATACAATAGTCAGCTGGCTGCTCCTGATTTAAGCCTTGCCTTTCAAAACTGAACCCTACTTAATGTCAAATACTACTGTAAAGGAAACTGTTGAAAAGCTTTGCTGCAACAAAAAAAAACTGCATTTATAAAACATGAAAAATGAACTACTCTTAATTATGTGAAATAATTCCTTCCTCTAATATTTTGAAAGCTTCTTAGCCTCAGTAGACAGCGTAAAACCTAAGTCATACACAGTTCTGCAGTAAAGCTTTCTTATAACACACACACAACAACAACAACAACAACAACAACAGCAACAAAAAACCTAGGGCTGCATGTAGCACCTTTCCTTTATCTTTATCCATATGCCACGCTAAGACAACCAAAGAAACCAACCTGTATGATTTAGTGCCCTCACATTTTAACATGTTGTGGGGGCGCAAGTGAATACCTGCGCGCGCGAGCGCGCACACACACACACACACACACACACACACACACACACACACACCTAAAGAGGTGAGCACATTCAGAACAACATTACAAAGAAAGAAAGGCTGCCTAATAGAGATGAAGGTCAGGGGACATAGCCTCAACACTCCATCACATCACAGCTTCGGAATATATTTTAAAGAAGATACAAAACTGCATCATTTTCCTCGTCATTCGAAAACATCACACCCAGCTGCTCGAGTTCGAGCTCAGGCGCTCCTCGCATTTCAAAAGCACCGGGGAGCTTAGACTCCAGGGACCCGGCTTTCCTCCTCGCGGAGCGACCCAGGGACAATTAACTGCGTGAGCGAAAGGACTCCAGAGAAAGGGAGGCTTCCTCTCCCCCTAACTAACTCTCAAGTCGACCCAAAACCTGCACGGAAAGGAACGATTTGCTAGTCATTAAATTGGACACTGCGCTCAGGTGGCAAGAGAGGACCCGAGGAGGCCGAGGCGGCGGCTGGCTAGGGCCGCGGCTGGCAGGTCACCCTCCGGCGGCACCGGCTGGACGACCCCGACCCGCGGGGATGCGCAGCGCGGCGACCCGGGTGCAGGAGCTGTGGGGGCTGGGAGGCAAGAGCGGGCTTCTTCCCTTACCAGATTGAGCACCGTCTCCACGATGTCCCTGTTGCTGACCTCTCCGACTTGTATGAGTCCAATCAACACTGCGAATTTCATCCGGATGTTGCGGATCGGCACGGAGGGGTTAAGCATCCCCGCGGGCAGCACCACCGCGCCGGAGGCGGACGGGCCCCTGGCTTCGCCCATCCCGCCGCCCCCGCCGCCGCCTCCGGCCCCGACAGCGATGAGCCCTCCGGGCTGAGGCTCGAGCCCCCCCGGGCCTGGCTTGTCGCTCGCCATCCGCCCGGCGCCTGAGCAGGGAAAAGCAGAGGCGCTGCCTCCGCCGGCACCGTTACACCTGCCGCGTCCTCCGCCCCCCGGCGTCGCTTCGGAGGCCCAGCATCCACCGGCGCCGACGCCGGGTTCGCTCCCGCCTGCGCCTCAGCCCCGCCGGCCGAGGCGGTGGTCCCCTCAGGCTGATGCCCGGCGGGGGCCGCGCCGCTGCCCGCTCTCCAGAGCAGCTGTGCCGCCGCCTCGCTCTCCCCCTCCGGCCGCCCGGCCCGGCCGCGCCTGGCGGAGATGCCGCCGCCCCCCCGGAAAGCCCGGGGCGCCCTGCGGGCCGCGGCGCTGGCCGCTGCTGGAGCCCGGGCTGCGGCGACGCTGCGGACACGGCTACAGCCGCCACTACCGGCGCCACTGTTGTTGTGAAGCCCCACCGTCGCCGCTCACTCCGCCATGTTGCCGCCCCCTGCCTGCGGTAGGGCCACTGCGCCTGCGCAGCGCCTCCGAGGGGCGGAGCCGGGCGCCCCTTCCCCCCCCCCCCTCGGCCCAGCCAGACCCCCCCGCCCGCCCCCCCCAGCCCGGCCCCAGGGCCCGCCGCCGCCGGACGGACAGGTGACCAGGTGCGCCGGGACCGCGGCCAGGCCCTGGCGCCAGCTTCCTCGTAGCTGTTCCCTGAGGTGAGTTCTCCCTGCGGGAAGGACACCTTTGAGGGCGCGTCTCGCCTTCGCTGCCATCGCCTCCCCTGCCCCCCTGCTGGGAGCTTCACCGCCTTCCCCTCCGGCGTCGCACCCCGCAGCCGCCAGGCAGCACCGCGTGCTCCTGAGGGAGGGAGCGCCGGCCCACCTACTGCCGCCGCGGCGCCCCTCCCGCAGCCCTGCCCCCGCCCTGCATGTCCAAAGCCCAGGCGGCTGGCGAAGCAGAGACACACACACCTCTGTGGGAACCGTCCTGTGTTGTCCGGGGAAGGATACGGATGACTCGGAATGGGTCTTTTCTGCAGCTATGAAAGAGGCTGACACCTGCACACACAGGTACAACTCAAATTAGAACTTGTCAAACGGTGATTTACTCTGGACAGAGCTCTGAACAACAAACAGCTCTTGAACTCACCTCCTGGCCTAAAAAGAATGCACCCTGTCACACTGTGCGGAAATATGGTGGAAGCTACAAATACCTTATTTTTAAAATCTCTAAGGATCCTCAGGTATGATACCAGTTAATGATGATGCCTCCCTTTTTCTTAGGCTTGTACCGTTCAGACAATTTCGACATTACCTAAAAGTATAGGTAATTCTCACTGCCAGTGTTGGTCTGTGATAAAAGTATATCTCTCTGCCTTCACAAGTATAGAAGCAAAAAAATACTTTTAGTTAAAAAATTAAAATGTACAAGTAATCTTGCCCTAGTATTTAATTAAAACTAAATAGGTATGATTGTCATTTTCTTCCTCGAAATGATGTAATTTACTTTAATATTTCATGAGGTATGCCCTTTTCAATATATTAAAAGCTGCTAGAAATATTAGATATATGAAATCATTTTAATTGTCAATATACAAATCTATCATAATTTGTTTTGTTATTGTATATATTATATTGGACTAGCTAGTCAAGTTAACTCCCAGGATATTGGAATATGGTAAAATTCTAAATTGGTATACATCATATACTAGTATAACAAATTTCCTCAAAACCAGTGCTTAGACTGTGTGTGTGTGTGTGTGTGTGTGTGTGTGTGTGTTTAAATTTGCACTGGAGAGTTTGAGTTACTGAAATAGTTTAGCAAAAATTTATGAAAGAAGTGGCAATTGGTACATTATTAAAGTTAAATACCATTTAATTTTAAAATGCTAGAATGGAAGATTTGGAAAATGGAAATGTGTGAAAAATTTACAAAACTAAAAACTTTTAATAGTGTGACTTAGATATGTTATATAATTGAAAACTCTTGTAATGTATATATCCACCTATAGCACTTGTGTGACCCAAATATATATCTTCTACTTTTACAAATGCTATTTTCATTTGCAAATTTAAAATGACATCTATCTTAAATATATAAGTCTATACTGAGAGATCATTGTACTATCTTTTGTCATTCCACTGGACATATTCAGGGTAGGGCAAAAGTGGGTTTACAGTTTTGAGTACATGAGACAAAGATTATTCTTGTATTATTAGAGTATGCACCAGTGGGGTCCCTCAGGCTGGCCTGTGAGATTGGGCTGAAACCAGCTCTCTGACATTCTCTGAGGGGTCCCAGATTGTGAGAGGGCACAAGCCAGGTTAAGGGACCCCACTGGTGTACAATCAGGGCGGGAGAGGGATGCAGGATGTTGGCCAGCCAGGGAGAGACCATGGGAGGGCGTGTCCAGCCTGTCTCACTCAATCCTGATCAGCTAGACCCCAGCAGCAAGATAACCTACCAGTCACAGTGTCTATCCCCTGGTGGTCAGTGCACGTCATAGCCAGTGGTTGAGCAGCCCTAGCATATCATTAGCATATTACACTTTGATTGGTTGAATGGGTGACTGGACACTTAGCATATTAGGCTTTTACTTTGTAGGATTATATAGGGTTATTGTATTACTTTCCATGAAAACAACTGGGGTTTAATTCAACATCAAAGACATTTAAAAGAGTTTACCAATTTAGACGAATTATACGTACACTGTCAGCTCCTTGCAGGTAGTGTGATACTGTGGAAAGTGCATAAGCTTTGGAATCACTCTCAGTACTTATTACCCATGCAGTCTACTCAAGTTATTGAGCTCAGTCTCCTCATTCACTAACAGCAGTAAAATTTAATAAAACAATCTCAACCCAGCAGCCAGTACACATTATATGTGTCCTTCTACCTTTAGTACACAGACACAATGTGTTGAATGACCTATAAGCACATGGAAGACCAATTTGAAACCACATGCCAGTCTTTATAATTGCAGTTATATGTTTTCAATACTATCTCCAAACATAAAGTTTAGGAAAAGACAGCAGGTCTGTTTCCTTTTAGCATACAAAGCCTGTTTCCCTGCAAATGTACAATTAACTTAGCGTTTGTATTAACAATATTTTGAAATAAAAGATAGGTACATAATAATAGAAGTTACCTAAAATGTTCATTTTAAGTCTTTATATTAAAAATGTACTGTATATTTTGTGTGGTGAATATTAATTTTGTATACATGTTTGCTTTAATAGATGCATATCCTTACTTCCAAAGGTCAATTCTTCAAAATAAGAAGCCCATGAATCTGAGCTTCAAAAGACAATATTATATAGTTGAGAATGCATGCTCCATATTTACTAAGACCTGGATTTGAATTCCAGCTCCACCATCAACTTACCTATGTGGACTCTGGGCCAAAGGACTTCTCTTCAAAGTCAGTTTACCCAACCCAAAGTAGAAATTCACAGGGTTACGAGATGAAAGGATCTAATACATTTAAGGTAATTAATGTAGTAGCAATTGTCAATAAATAAATAATGTTTTCCTCCTTTGACTGTTGGAAAAGTCAACATTGTAGTTATTTTTGTGTTTTCAATACCTACCATGCCTGGCATGTAATTTATATTTAATAAACATGTTCAAAAATTAATGAATGAGAACAGCAATTCTCCAGGCTGAATATAACTATTTCCTTCATGTGTTATCTAAAAAGCAGGTTTCTCACTGTCCTCTAAACTTAATCTGAACAGAGTACTCCAAATTCTAGGTAAGTTCAGACCAGTAAAAAAAGGGAAACTTTCATCCTTTGTAATTATAGCCCCTCTTAATGTAATCCAAATCAAATCAGTTTGGTTTGCTTTGCTTAGGGTCATGGTTTTTCAACAATATCATAGTAATGATTTATGTTTGGCATATAGTAGGTTCTCAAAAAATTTGGTCCCTTTCCCCTCTTATATAAAGTTTTTTGTCATCTGAAACACCACAGATTTTGTTCTGTTGCTTATGTTTTACTTTGTTTCTAAACATGCTACTCTGAAGCAGCAGCATATCTGCAATATTGGTTTTACACATAGATTTTGAGATATAAAGTACAGAAATGTACATATATACATAAATCTAATTTACTTTTCAGATTTTCCATTTTAAATTTTTGGCATCCCCACTTAGTCAACATGATTGGTTAACTGTCATAAATAAGCTCCATAGAGAAATATCACATTAAAAAAAAAAAAAAAAACACTGAGTAAGAAAACAGAACACTGAGTAAGAAATATTTTGGCCTTAATTAAACCCTTAATCCTTAATTCAGAAGACACCTCAGTAACTTCCAGTGCACCAAAGTCATGATCATCATTGTACAGTACTGAAGAAAAAATTTATTTGTACTATGTACAAACAATAATTTCCAGTAATTTGTGCAAAAAAAAATCTTGTTTAAGCCATTTTCTTTTTCTTTCTGTACAGTAAGAAATAGGAAAAACATTAGTACAACTTTTACAAATATTTTGTTTATTTTAATGAACCTGGTACAGATAATGTTCATTTAAAAATTATATCCCAGGCCAAAAGGTACAAATAAAATAAAAAAGATCTGTGTGTTATTGTACACACTTCTGCATGGATAACCTTATTAACTGATAATTAAATTTAGAACTTTTCTAGGATCTTCTGACAAGATTTTTCTTTACTCTTAAAATGCTTTCTCTTCAGCGAAGCCATCTTTGGAATTAGTCTTTACTCTCACCTTACCGATCATCTTGACTTCAACTTGATATTCCTTTTCTTTTGATCCAGACCTTTATATTTTAAAAGTGGCTTCAATTTGAGGAAAGGTCATTTTTCCACGGTTCAGTTTTCTAAAAAAAACTTGCATCTCCCACTGAAAATGATAATCTAGGGGTGAAGATATCACATACTAGAACTTCCAGGCCAGTTAGAAACTCATTGTACAGACTTGCATTATTAGTCCACCTTATTTATCACAAGCCTAAAAATTCAGTCTTGGAAAAGGTGGTCTCCCTTTTCATGTAATATTTCAAAAGGAGAGGGCAATATGAAGGGGGCTGAAG